TGTTCAGTTATTCTTGTTTCATTTTAAAACCACATATACAGAATCACTTTAAATTTCCTGCTACTGCAGACAGGGTATTATTTTTCTGCAACAATGACCAAGATCAGTTGGACCTTTAGTTCTCTGTGCACTCTGATTAAATATATTAGCTAGATCATACACCTGTAAAAGCGGTTGACCCAGGATAAAAGATAGCTCAGCTTCCTGCTTGACTCCGCTCCAGGCCGGCCAGCCTTCAGTAGAGGGCCGCCAGGTAAACTTATACCTGGAGATATATTTAGTTAGGCTTAAACTTTTGGGTGGAATAACGCTTAAAAACATTGAAAACCCCCGAGATTCGACCGACGGATTTAATTAAAACTCTAGGAATAATTATAAGCAGGAAATCCTCCAACAAAATATAAATCATAAGTATAATGTACATTGTACACGTTTGGAGATTGCTTCACAGCTGACTCCTGTACACACCTGTACATGTTTGAGTATTGTGCAGCTGACTCCTGTACATACCTGTACATATTTGAGTATTTTAAAGGTGATTCCTGTACATACCTATACATGTTTGAGTACTGTACAGCTGACTCCGGCTGTACATCTTGTCCACAACTGTACAGATAATCTCCAACTATCTTCTCCAATGACAGGAATCTAATAAAATTGTTATAAAACTTTCTTACTGAATCTTCTTCAACGTTAAATCATGCATTTTTGCCGCTAGAAAATGGCAAAAAGCAAACAGATTTTAGTACAATAGATGGCAGCGTAGAATTTGTACACTTTCAGTACAGCTGTATTCTGACGTCACAAGTTTTTGTGTCCGACAAAATTATTACTTATAGTGATAATTTTAGATCTTAAAGTAAAACAAGTGCAATTTGATGTGTTCTTTGTTTTCTGTTTTTACATTTGTTTTATTTAATATTAGACAACATGTCAACTTATGTGAGAAAATTTCCTTTTTCCTTGTTATATTTGACACTTGTGACGTCTTGTACAGTTGGTCCATTTCTCTGTTGCCACCTATTGTACTTCATAATCTATTTAGCAAAAAGTATTTTTGAAAAAAGAATGTATAAGGATGTTTTTGGAACTAATTTATTACACTCCTCTTTAATGACGTTTTAACAAAATCTCAAGAATGCATTTTTTGAAAAAAAAAATTGTCTAAATTTTTATATTTTTGAACCGACCTAGCTGATGCCTTCGTGGGTGAGAAATCATTATCCCCGGATGAATACAGGAACTCAACAACTGACAAACTCTGATAAATATAAAAAATAATGAAGAAAAACAATTATAATTAAAGGGGCTGTCGTTGTTAGTTCAGGTGACCTTTTCATATACAGTCATAACCAGAAAACTCCTAAATAGGAAGACGACTTTATAGTAATGCGTACGTGTATTTGATGTTGTTATGAAGCAAATAGTTTTACACACTTCTTAAATCAGAAATCAAGTGAAATGGGCCTTTTTAAACTGAACAATTTCTGTTTCCCATGCTCATCTAAAGAAATAATTTGAGTCTAAGAGTCGTCTTCCTATTCCAGAGGTTTTTTGGTTATCACTGTATACAAGAGGGCATGCCTTATTCACAACAGTGCCCTTTAAACCTTTAGCCGATAATAAAGTATTGCATGAAAAGTATTTTATTCAAACAATTTTTCTGAAGCATCAAATTTATACGAAAATCTATTTATATAAAATTTTGTGAAAAAAGTAAGTTTAAACGGATAATATTCAGCAAATACACAACCAATCTGAAAACGACGATATCCCAGAGGAGCCTAAAAAACTTAGGTTTGCTTCTATAAATTTGACACAGTTTTATATCAATTTCTCGAGACAGTAACATCAGATATAACTCTTATGTGTCTCAATCAACTCCTCAAATGCTTATATTTCAGCCATACCCCTTTAGTTTTTCCGTTACAGTCCCTGACCCTGACCCCCATGTTTTAAGGTTTTGTGTTTGTATATATGAGTAACTTTTATAAACAGGGGTAACAACGAAGAATTAGACTAAAGCTATGAAATAAACCAATCTAACGGTATAAACTTACTTTAACAAGCATATTGACTGGTTTAGAATTAAAGCTGCAAGAAGCCATGAATTTAGGAAAATAAATAACTAAAAGTTTAGTCGTCGCTGAAGTCTCATTCTTTGTGGGTAACCCTGTAAAATAACCTTTTTATCAAAGGTTGGGAACATTTTCTGCAGCATGTTCATGTACATTTCCTGTAAAAAAAATCATCAAATTTGGTTTTAATGATTGAATCAAAAGATGAAAAACTTAGTTTGCCTTTGCTTTATCTCTTTTAGAGAAAAGCTTCTTAATATTCTTAATATCGAACTAACATTATTAAAAGAAATTTCGTAATTATTTTAATTTTGTTCTTGTAAAAATCCATTAATATAATAAAACAAGACATTCAAGACATAATATGTTGCTTATAGCTGGCAAAATGGCTGGACCGAATGGGCTAAATTTTGTGTGGACACTCTTGGGTAGCTGGGGGTGTCTTAGGGAAAAAAAGTTAGAAAATTTCTTGAGGTCATGTTGAGGTACCACAAATAATCTGGGCTTGATCAGTTCATCCGTTTTGACTTTTATCGGTTACAAACAAACAAACATAAAGACAAGCAAAGTATATATATAGATAACTTTGATCTACTTAATTATTAAACCTGTGTGAACCCCTCACTGTGAAGTTTATCTGTCGGAAACTCTCGAGTCAAAAATTTCATCATCTTCAAAAATCCTTCGTTTGAATTCGATCCTTGTAGAATAGGGACCTCCACCACCTTGACCTTATTAACCTCCTTCGCTCCATGGACCTCGTTGACCTCGTGGTCCAAGGTAGGATGGAGGTCAGTCTCCAGAACAGGCATAAAGCAGGTTTCCTTAATAATTTTATTAATAATTGAGAATGTAATGATAATGATAAAAAAATAAGGTTGGTTACTCTCGATGCGCTCAAATGAACGGAAAATGTCGTCTCCAAAGATAGATAGAAAAAAACCTAATATGACTTCACTGATTATAGAGGCGAGAGTGACGTCATATAAGTGTTTTGATCTATCTATCTTAGAAGACGACATTTTCCGTACATTGGAGCCCTCACTTTGGTAGACCCCATTTTGGAATTCCATAGACTAGAAGATCTAGATGTGTTAAATGATTTAACTGGGATACTACTAGAAATATTGTTCACGTTTTAATGCTTAGAACGAAGACGATATAGAAGTCGTCACTTAATTCCCATGTTTATTGGTACACCCTATAAACCTGTAAGGATGTGCTGCAGAGTTTGGTTTGAGCTTCAATAATATCTTCAACACTGGACTTCTTCAAACAAATCAAAATCTCCTAAAGGAAAAAAACTTTTTTTACAGTAAGAGCCAAAAAACACAAATAAAATCAGTTTTTAAACATGTAATTTGTAATTTTTAATCCGTTCGTTTACAATTCAATAAATAAATGTTGAAACTAACTTTGTAATAACTACGCAATTCTTCAATTCGTGGAAATCCGTTTGCGTAACTTTTAGAAATACTTTTTATAATTCCAAGGTTTACCTTTTTCTTTTTAATTGAGCACTTGAGGGTGGCAGCTAGCTTTAGCATTTGCTTGCTACTCTTCTCTCGGTCATCTTAAACAAAGAGCAAAAGAACTTAAACAATAGGTTTTTAAACATGTCCGGGTTTATCGGAATAGAATAAATCTAAGAAAAAGTTTAAATGTGAGAAATAGCTTTTATAGTCTTTAGTTTTTAAGAATTAGGTTTCAAAATTCTCATAAATTTGAACCACTATGACTTACCATAAACCCAAGGACTGAGGGATCCTGCAGAGTGAAGAATTCCTCCAGAAACTAACTTTGAGACTTTAGAGGAGTTGAGGAGCAAAGATACAGATACTGCTCCAGTCTAGATAATTAATTAGATTATTTTTGATATTTTAAATTAATAATATAAATATGTAAAATAGTAGTAATTTCTCACACTAAGCTAGACAGGAGAAAAGGGTCATATTTGTGTGATGTTACTGCTACGACGTTGTGGCCTAGTAAAACATCAAGTTTTGATTTTACGCACAAAAATGAAAAAAAATTGTCCCGTTACATTTTAGAAATTCAAAACTTTTTTTTCTTCTGAATAACTCTTTTATGAGAGAAGTTAGGCTTGAAATTTACTTCAGTTTGACGTGCTCTGTTTGTGCGTATGATAACTTTAAAGGGATAGACCGGCTTTGTAAAGTAGTTAAACTGAGTATGCAGTGTTGTGGACAAATTCTTTAGGATTCATTTGAGATATATAAAACTTTTTAAAAATCTGTTAATCCTGAGTTTGAGCGCAAAGTCGACGTACAAAATTGTACTTTTGGGTGGATATGTTTTCAGAATCTTTTTTAATTACTAAACGACGACAAAACATGTAATCAAAATTCTATAATAAACTAATTAGTTGTTTAGGAACAGGTTGAGAAAATAAAAATTAACTCTTGTCATCGAAAATAAGTAATCTTATTCAATTATTAGTTTCTATAATCTCTCTTTAAGAACAAAGATTTTCTGGAATTGTTATTAAAAAGACGGCATTTGAAGAATTTGGAGAAATCTGCGAACAAATTCATAGAAAATAAGAAATTCAATAAAATAATGATGGAAAAGGAAATAATTAATTCTAACTTCGATTTATTGACAAATTTCTTTTGAGAATAATGTTCCTAAACATCTAATTTATAGTTAACTATAGAATTTTCACTATATTTTTCGTCGTCGTTATTTAATAATTTAAAAGAAACGATTCTGAAAACGAACCCACCCAAATTCATGATTTTGAACGTCGACTATGAACTCGAACTCAGTAATTATACATCGTGGAAGCGTTTTATATGTTTCAAATGAATCCTAAAGAATTTGTCCACAACACTGCTTACTCGATCAGATTAACAATAACTACCTTACATAGCCGGTCCGTCCCTTTTAAGAAACCCAACGAGGTTAAGAAACCCCATGACAGATTTGTCTCAAACTTTGATTGTGGAGCTAGATAGAATCACGGAAACAGAGAAAGTATAATTTCCAGGCAAAGGTTGATTCCCAAGCTAGTCTTATTTCACGGGCAACGCCGGGCACTTCAGCTAGTATATTAAATAGAGCTAAAATAAAACCTACCTCTACTCCAAGTAGATTTATCCTGGAAGTATCTCCTCCAAAGGCTCCGATATTGGAGTGAATCCAGTCTATAGCTAGAGCTAGATCTTGTATCCCAAGGTTCTCCCTGTTCTCTAGTCCAGGAAACCCTAGAGCTCCAAGACGATGCTGAACTGCGACAACTATAACCCCCCCGTGTTCTACCAGAGGAGCATAGTTGGCCTGAATAATAAGTTTATCGTATTAATCTTTAATTAAGAAATCAATGAAGATGTTTTTAACAATGAAAAAATATATAAATAACACGTATTAAGGTTTTTTACAATAAAATTCACTAATATAAAGTTACAAAAAACAAACATCTATATATAAATTTGGCTTGTCTGTCTGTTTGTTTGTTTGTCTGTCTGTTTGTTTGTATCCAATAAACGTCAAAACGGCTGAACCGATCGGGCCCAAATTTTTTGTGGGACATCTAGGGACCCCAGGGAAGGTTTATGAATGATTGAAATTTTAAATATTTGTCTCAATCAAAATTCGACCTTCATTAAATTTTTTAAAATTTTGAAAATCCACGAAATTTTTGTGAAAATCCGCGAATTATTTTGTTTTGTTTTACGATGTACACAAAGAGAACATTGTTCACAATTAATTTAGAAGATGGGCGCTAAGCGCCCTCTAAGGCTAGAAAGAAGGGCGCGAAGCGCCTTGAATTTCTAGTTTATTAAACTTGTATAGCTGAGACTTAATTTTGATTTAAAATAAATTGTGTTTTCAACAAGGCACAAGCATAACCTACCATTTCTACCGTTCAAAGCTTAAAGAAAAATAATCTTAACTGAGGTCGGAGTTTGCGAGAAAGAAACAGAGAGTTTTGTCTGACAAATATATGATTGAAACAGAGAGTTTTGTCTGACAAGTATATGATTGAAACAGAGAGTTTGTCTGAAAAATATATGATAGAAACAGAGAGTTTGTCTGAAAAATATATGATTGAAACAGAGAGTTTGTCTGAAAAATATATGATTGAAACAGAGAGTTTTGCCTGACAAATATATGATTGAAACAGAGAGTTTTGTCTGACAAATATTTGATTGAAACAGAGAGTTTTGTCTGACAAATATATGATTGAAACAGAGAGTTTTGCCTGACAATATATGATTGAAACACAATGTGTCATTTTAGTAATTTGCAGGCCAATAGCATCCAGAGCAAGAAACTTTTGAAAAGGAGGAACAGTTAAATGAATTCTAATATCACAGGGATATTTTCGCATAATTCACTGTGAAGAATTTAATCAACGCATGATAGGTTAAACTTTCAGTGCAATAACAAAATCTTTTGCCATTTTATTCATCCATTCTTTTACGTTACTTCCTTTTTTCCTTCTTTTAATTCACATAATATTCTTTCATATTCGTTAATTGATTCTTTATATTGTAATTCCTTTCTGTCATCCTCTTATTCTTTCATTCTGCCTTTCATGTCCTTAATTCAGATCTATATTGAAGAAAATGCATGCATATATCTACATTTATAAACCTGATTGTTTGAGTTGAACTGGAATCCTCCTGAGTGTATCCAGACTAGAACCGGATACCGAGCGGTAGGTTCGTCCTCCTCCGAGTCAACCTTGGAGCTGGACGGATATCTCTCCGTACTAAACCCCTGGTCGGAGTAAAGGGTTTTCTCCGAGGGCGGGGCAAATATATCCAGGTATAAACAATCCTCGCTAGTTTTACTGATGTTCAGGGGTGTTATAGGAGATGAAGGGGGCTGGGGGCATGCTGCTGGGGGTTCCTTAGCTTCCCGCACACCCTCCCAGGATTCCAGGGGCAGAGGTGCTTCAAATCTTTAAAGAAAATGAGTCATTGCCACAAACGTTGATTTTCCAATCCCTGTATCTTTGCAACCCAATGTTGTAAACCTTAGATATTACAACCTATTCATTATATTTGATCAAATAATCTAAATTTTAAATATAAAAGATTTACACCACTAGGTTGGCAAGACTTTGTCAAGATTTTATTTTCATGAAAATGTTGTAATCCAACAAAACGGATTCAATTTTACCTATTTTCTCCAATGGGGGGAAGAGCGTAGGGAATTCCTGTCCACATTCTTATTCCAGAAACTGTCTTTCCTCGAACCGTTCCTGATAATACAAGCAAAATAAGTTAATCTGCAGTACATTTGCCGTTGATCTGCAGTACACTTGCATTTAATCTGCAGTACATTTGCCGTTAATCTGCAGTACATTTGCTGTTAATCTGCAGTACATTTGCCGTTGATCTGCAGTATATTTGCCGTTGATCATCTGTACGTTTGCCGTTAATCTGCAGTACATTTGCCGTTGATCTGCAGTGCATTTGCCGTTGATCTGCAGTACATTTGCCGTTGATCTGCAGTACATTTGCCATTGATCTGCAGTACATTTTCCGTTGATCTGCAGTACATTTGCCGTTGATCTACAGTACATTTGCATTTAATCTGCAGTACATTTGCCGTTAATCTGCAGTACATTTGCCGTTGATCTGCAGTATATTTACCGTTGATCATCATCAGTACGTTTGCGGTTAATCTGCAGTACATTTGCCGTTGATCTGCAGTACATTTGCCGTTGATCTGCAGTACATTTTCCGTTGATCTGCAGTACATTTGTCATTGATCTGCAGTACATTTTCCGTTGATCTGCAGTACATTTGCCGAAGAAATAGAGGCTTGTAGCGGAGATTGAGAGCAATACTGGCCTCTAGGTTATAATTGTCTTACCTGAGGCTGTCTGTATAAGAAGTCCTTCTCCTGTTCCTGTTCCACTAATACTATGCCCATTGGTCGGAGGGAGGAGAGGGGGGAGGGAGGCAGGAGGGGGGGACAGTGATAGCCCCACCCCGCCCCGTAGTACCACACCCACCACTAGCAAAAGTAACATTTCATTCTTGTTCTGGAAAATGTAATTCTTAATTAAGATCTCAACTGTAGAACATTACATGTGTTTGAACTTTTGAAGATTTTGCAGTTACCATGTAATGCTCATGAGTCATGTTATAGAATGTGTAATACTCGCATGAAAAATTATATAAATTTCTATAAATGTATAAAATATATAGTTTTCGTGGTTTTTAATTTGTAACTATGTTGAAAATAGACGGCGCAAGGCCCAAATGTTTTAGACTGTATAGATATTTCAAACTATGAACTCTGTTAGATAAAAAAATCTATGTTTGAAATATCAAAGGTTTACACCATCAGGTTTTACAGATGTAAGAATTAGAAAATCTGAGTGTTTGGCAAAGATTTTTTTCTTTTTATAAAAAAAGCAGAAATTGATAGTTTTCAGTTTCCTCAAAGGAATTGAGTTTTTGCAACAAACTCAAATCTCCCAATCCCTATATCTTTTCAACCTAATAGTCTAAACCTTAGATATTTAAAACTTGGATTATTTGTTCTAACAAAATTAATAGTTTGAAATATCAAAGGTCTCCGACATAAGCATGCAGTGATTAGAAAATCAGAATTGGTGGCAAAAACTCAGATCCTTCGTATGTCATTTCAATGGCATTGGAAGATGAAAGTATAAGATCATATTTGAACAAATCTGAAAAAGTTAAATAAATTAGATACAGGGTTACCCACAAAGGATGAGACTGTAAAGGCGACCTGAAATGAATTCGCTTAAAAAAATAAGATATAGTTGGCGGAAGGTTAAACAAAACCAAATTCGAAAAAAACGATTGAGACAAGTCTTCAAATTAAAAATAGACATTTCTACAATATCCTCATCAGTGCTATAAGAAAATAATATCAAATAAAACAGAATAAAAAGCATGCATAGAATATATAACATTTTTACTTATACATAAAGATTGGGGAATCGCTGCATGAATACATTTGATGATACTAGGATTAAGTATCGGTATGAAATAAGTTTACGGTTGCAGGGAATCTTAACATAAAGAAACACAGCATCAAGGTTTTAATGCAAAGAAAGTTATTTCAGAGGTGTACACATCTTTTGTACTGCAGTGTACTGTCTCTGAGCGCTAATGTAAACACAAGACGGATGTCGAAGCCTGACATGGGATCCATCTTTCACATAAAAAAATCAATGAAATATTCTGGTCATAGGAAACTATAATGTGAATTATCAAAATTATCAAAATTTAATGCTTTTAACCTCCTCGGATACTAAACGAACACTGATGCATCTATTCTTGTTTACAAATTCCGCCCAGAGAGAACTGGTTTCAATACGTACGCAGAGTATACGTGACAGCAATTAACTTTCCTTGCATTACAACCTTGCAAAGCATAAACTCTGTCTGTACAGTTGTTTCTAACGTCACGTTCTTTGTGGGTCACCCATTATACATGAATTAAATATGTCATATGTGAATTCAAAAGTTTCCATCATATAATGACACTTTGCGCAAAAACTCTGCGTAATTAATTAGTTTCTTAATTAAAGTAATAAATCAAAATAAACAAAATGCTATTTGACTGAATCTAGAAGTTTCACAATATTTGTTCTGCCTTGATGAATAAAAAAATTGTTCTCTCCGGTTGCCAAAATTCCGACCAGAACCAACACACAGAACCGGCGCTACGACATCTGCTCTATTTTCATTTGCTCTATGGTCATTTGCTCTATAGCAGGATAAGGGAGGGGGTTGGAGAGCCGCCATGAGCCCCGAAAAAAGGTCTTCAAACCTCCGTATTCGCAGCCGAGTACCATGGCACTACCCTAAAGCGTTAGAATAGATATTATAGAAAAAATAAACAACATTTTTAAAAGAAAATGTTTAATCTTAAATAGTTCTGCAGGGTTTTCTTGAATATCCAAAAAAAATTGTAAAACTATTAAAGTATTGAATATTTTTTCTAAAAGTTTTAAACATTACTAATTTAATATCTATTCTAAAGGATATGGGTAGCGCTGGGTCAATTTTAATACTCATTTGCGAATCCAGAGGCTTGGAGACCATTAAGCGGGGCTCATGGCGTCCCTGCAGCCCCCTCCTTAGCAGGATATTATTCAGTGATGGATCAAACAAAACAAAAAAACAATTTTTATCAAAATATCGTTAATAAAAGAAATATAGAATATTCATTGCTCAATCACCATGGAGGAAAGAGAAAAGGATGAGAAAGAATGAAAAAAGTATTTTTATATTTCTGCAAATACAGAACAGTGCAATAAAGGGAGGAGAAGGGGAAGGGGGTTGCGTCTTTAAAGTTTCATACTTTGTGGGTCACCCTGTATAATTATTTCACTGTGACACAATTGAAGTGAGTTCAAGGTTGTCTGGTTGGCAGGTTTAAATTTCCATTTTTATACAAAAATATGAAATCTTAATTATTATAATCATTTAGATTAAAACTTGTAAAATGTCCGATATACGCATCCAGCACCAGTATACAATGATAATTAATTAATTATATATTTAGTTCCCTTAATTTATTTCTGTCCCACCATTTTTTCCATCTTTTCAATTGTAATTTCTTTAATAAAAGACTTGCGCAATGCGCATTTCTTCTGCAGCTATAATGGGAGGAAATTATCAGAACTATACATTTTTCAATTTTCAACAATTTTCAAACGACGATATCTGCCACATTATTAATATATATATATATATATATATATATATATATATATATATATATTTGACTAAATATTTGAACAAAGAACAATTACAATTGCACAATTTTTACATTTTAGATAAAGGTTTAAAGGGTATTCATTAGTTAGACAAATTTAAGTGACTACTTAAGGGGGCGAGGTTTAATTGTGCCCCCGCCCCCCGGTGTCGGTTAGTGTTATACCAATTCTAAAAACGCCGCTGGATTAAGATGACTCTACAATAGTATATCACGGTTTACCCTTCATTAGGTTTCAATTTTTTCATTCAAAGGTGAAAATTGTGGTTGAAGGGAGGGGGACCCTCCGGGCG